TTCTTTACCATAGGATTAAATGGCATAACACTCGATATATCGCAATTCATGCCACGCCACTGGTACTATAGCTCGGCAGTATAGTAAGATAGATGTGATGTCAATGTTGTAGACACATCGAGCCGCCCTGAATTACCAGCATATCCATACTCATTGGCATCGTGCAGTGCCTAGTAGTGTCGCGATCGCGTCAATGGAGTTGTCGCGCGCCATGAAAAATGATGTCGATTTGATTAGATGAGATCAGCTGATTTATGGCACGCACAACGACCGCCCGGATGGCCGTTTTCCCCGTTACGCGCGTTAACCGCATCGGGCTAATAAAGATGTTAGATTTACGGCTTGCAAACCGGGGTTATTTCACACCTTGCTTTTCGCACCTCGTATCCTGCGGTACCTACATGCATGATATGAGCCCCGCTATTCAAATGGACCACATTTTGCGATGAGAAACTACTGTTGGGGCTCATTCCACAAAAAATGCCGTTTTTCGGATAAAAGAACGTAACTCAATTCCAAGGTGGCTTAATTGACTCAAACAATTCCATTTTTTACAATAATGTACCGGTGCAAATATTTCCCAAAATTTCTTTGATATTTCCATGGGATCAGAGGAAAAATCAATGAAATTTTCAGTAAGAAGTGCTTAAGATTCTCCTGACAAGAATGCAATAAATGAGAAGAAATTTGACAACACTGGAATGTAGTTATACGTATATACTTTCGTTAGGAAAACGACGAAATGCGCTATCTGATAGCTTAAATAACAAAAAAGTTATTAGGGATGGATTCAAAAATGAATCTGTGCAAACTTACCGCTTGGAGACTTAAACGCAGAAGTAGAAAAGTAAGATATCGTATTTTCAGAGAGAAAAGTTGTGTTCTCCCTTGTTTAAATGAGAATGCAATCTCTTTTATATTCCCGAATTAGGAGGAAGTCTTGACACGAGGTGTTTTCAAAGTTCCCCCCTAGAGGGAGGTTTCCAGCCGCCCTTTAGGGGGGCCTCTCCGAAACTATGGGGGTCCAAAAATAGCTCTCTCCACTTCGAAATACCCCTTAAGTTCAAAATTGGTAGCTCAAATAGCAAAAAAGGTATTGGGATGGGTTGCGTGATGAATGTGTAAACTTACAACTTGGAGACTTAAACGCAGAGATAGAAAAGTAAGACATCGTCTTTTCAGAGAGAAAGGTAATCCTCCTTTGTTTAAATGAGAATTCAATCTCTTTTCACGTTCCTGGATTGCGATGAGGTCGTAAAAAAAGAGTTTTTAAAGTTCCATCCCAGAAGAAGGTTCTCAACCCCACTCAAGGATGCCAAAAACCCTATACCTTCGCAACCGTCTCGCCTACATTCTGACAGAGCATTCTAATAGAATATGCATGCCCACAGACAACATACAGTCGGCGATGGGCCATACTAGTGACTGTGCATTTTTCCCGCGACTGTCAAGCTGTACATATTCTCAAAATCATTTACCTCAATTTTTTTGATTATTTCCAACACACGCAGCCACTCCCACCCCCCTCCCATTTTCTTTTTTTCTGTCATAAGTGTACACTCTCTGTCTTTTAAAATTTTCATTTATGATCACTGTTCATTCTACAGATCTATCGGCTTGTATTTCGGGATTTTTCCACGTATCGGCATGCATAAGAGAGTTTGCTTGAAATTATTTTTGGAATACGACCCAGGTCTATTTAATATAATATGACGACACCGTGGATTTTCCATTCAACCCCCAAAACAATGTGCATTTATTGTCACAGTCCATTCTAGAAATCTACTGAGCCGATTTCCATGACTATAGTACAGCTATATCGGTGAATGATAACCTCTAAATGAGCTTACTTCCTTCAAATTTTGAAAATATGACCTAGAGAGCCTTTACTGAGGTTTAGGTCGCGTAGCAGTCAGAAGCCCTTTGTCAATATATCCAACTGAGGTATCAGATCTAAAAATTTTCATCGAACGTATAAGCCCTGGATAGACGACTAAATTCCGAACCAATTCCGATCAAAGTAGACATGCTGATGACTGGCGGTCACCATCTGCCATCAAATTTTGACGGGCTGCACTTTTTTGTTCAAAGTAAGATTAGACTGGAGTACCACCATTCATCATTTCCTGCCACAGGAAACATTTCTGCCAAGTTTTCATTATAAAATAAAGCAAATTAATGAGTTTCAGACTGATGACTCCCGACACTTTGATGCTACTTTGATCGGAATTGGTTCGGGAATTTGATCGTCTATGCAGGCCTTTACTCAAGCATCTCGCTTCAACCAGAGTATCGGACCCCCAAAACAGCTCGCGTGACTCTTGAGAATTCCTTATGCAGAGACGATGGTCAAGTGTAAACTATGAAACTCGTTGAGTTGAAGGCTGGGTTGCAGCGTCAACGTTGCCGGTCGTAAAACCGAAAATCACCATCCACCGATGCGATGGGGCCAGCGTCAAGTTCGTGCGATGCAACAAAGAGAGGGGTCACTTGGTCTACCGTGGCTCCGAGATCGAGAGTGTTCATCATATAGGAAGCTATGTCGGTCAACGGCACCAGAATCAGAGGAAAAAAACAAAACGGTTGCATAATCAGCGCCGCTTGCCGACAGCAGCGATTAAATTCGGTTCCTTAAAATGAGATACCTCTCGCTCGTTTAGGAATGCAAGCCGATTTAGTTTTATATCCCCCCGAGCCTCCAGGTCTGTGGGAGTGCAGGAGTGAAATCATATTCCCGCCATGAGCTTCGTTGCTTTGATTAACTAGGAGGCTCGCGTGCCTGATTTTCAAAGTTGACCGCGGGAAACCTGATATTAAATTTTCGTCTCCGACAGGTTTTCTTTTCTATGTTGGTTTTTTTTCGTCGTCGTGAATGACTCAATTTTTCCTCGTGACCCTTAAAATTAAACGAGATAATGATACGGCTCACTGCACCGATAAATACGGGTATTATCGGGGGGAACAAAAAGTCTTTCAACACTTCCCTCCTGATTTATTTTCTCTCAGTCCAAACTATTAAGTTATTATTTACATGAATTTTGGGCTGTAGTGAAACGAAGTGGACGTATGTACGCTATGAGGAACCAGAGACGGGTGGGAAAGAAGGAGTATGCTCGTTAGTTGAGGGCCGCAAGAATTAGGGGGGATTATAAAAAGACGTCAGCGGTGACGCTCGACGACGCGACCGTCCGCTTTAACTCATGAGCTCTGTCCACAACGCTTTTGTCACATGCCCGCGGCTCATGAGTTAGCATATTTCGGCTTTCCTTTTGATTTAATTTCAAATCCCACTTTTCCATTTTCCCTAGAGGAATCATGCCACCTTTACCTTGTTTCTTACGCAGCTTTCTGGAGCACACCCCTTTTAGTAAAGAGATACGTCCAAGTGTGTGTTGAACTAATAGACAAGGCACGAATCTAAAGGCCACTTAAGGTGCGGTTTCCGCATCAAAATGTTCATGCGGAACACGTTAAAAATATTGAAAATATCCAAAATCAACCCGTGAGAGAGAGAGAGAGAGAGAGAGATAGGTAAGCGTTTATTTTTCACATTTTGCTGATGAAATGTGCACCTATATTTCTATGTTCGATTTCTGGCCTTGTCTAATTATCAATCAATTCAATTATATTACGTAGATCAAACATGCCAGTAAGTCTATTTAAATTGTCGTGTATATATCTTGCATTGACAAGTGTGCAAAAGATAACTGAGTAATGTGAACATACCGTGCAACTCTGATTGGAACAAATAAGTTCGGAAGAGATAGTATAAATATTCTCTGAGCAAGACCGAAAGAGCAGCCATCACAGCCTCATAATTTAGCAGAGTGGTTTCTTTACGATCGATTTACTCGGACAAACTCCTCCTAAGCTATTCTGTATTTACTTCTGTCGTCACCCAAGATCGTTATAGAGTTTTGAATTAAGGTTAATTTTGCTTTGTGGGCGCGTAGATCTAATGATGCAGAACGTTCCATGTTTCATGGTTCGCGAATCGCAATTCTTAAGTGTCTATTCCGTCTCGTTTAGAAAGGTCGAAGGCAGAGGGGATAAACTTGAAGATCTGATACTTTCTGAGAAGATAATAAATGATATCAAGGCATTCCAAATTTTTCACCATTAAGTGTGCTAATTTACTGTAAGTGCTTAGTAGCGAAAACTTATTTTTTTCGTTGATCCGTCTAATAATCAGTTTGGGTTATTTTTAGAGTGTATGTCTAAATGCTGACATTTTACAAGCGTCATCCTGAAATAAAATTGTACAATTTTGTTTGCTTTTTTAGAGACATTTTGAGGAAAATGTATCGCCACTCAGGCGCTGGACATAATAATGTTGGATTATATTGGATTAGTTGGTCGATTTGAATTCCGTCGGATTACGTTGATCAGCATTGATTAATACGACGCTTCAAAAAATCATGCAAGTGCTCAGACATTCGCACCGCTATAGAATTAATTTGTCACGTATATAGAGCGTAAAGCTAAACTCAGAGAGGTCAATACCGTTGTAAGGTCTGACAGTGTCTGCGGAATTCCAGTAAAAAAAGGATCGTGCGTTTAATTTCAAGATCATCCAAATAATAACTGATCCGACCCAATAACCCAGATTCAAATCGCCCATTCTGCACATGAGTGGTGAAGAGGTTTCCTGATATAAGTGTTTTGCGGTGTTGCCACGATTAGGAGGGCATATTTTTTTTTACTTTCCTTCCACTTTATTGTGAACTATTGTAATATAAAGCTCTTACAACCGGCGGGGACTTGCGATTTTAAAGCTTCATCCTACGTGAATTTCGCGACAAACATTGTGGTACCTCTGGTTTTCTCTGAAAAAAATTCACAGGCTCGGGAAAAGCGAGAAAAGTAAGGATTGAAGCGGTTAGCATGGGTGTCGATCATATAATTCGTATAGATTAAATGGATTTGTTTCATATTTGCTTATCTCCTCGACCACACCGAAATTTCTAATGTTTTCTTCTCTTTTTCTTGTTCTGATTTAGCTGTTTGATAAGTTGCGGAAAGAAAATCCGATGGCCTTCAAGAAAATCGTCGCTTTTGAAGGTGACCTGACGTTACCAAATTTAGGACTTAAATCAGAAGACAAGAAGGTGCTAATAGAAAATGTTTCCGTAGTTTTCAATGGTGCTGCTTCCTTGAGGCTCGAGGCAGGTCTGAAGGATGCCATCAACAGTAACACTTTGGGGACTCAGAAGATTCTTGAGCTTTGTCGAGAAATGAAACAGCTGAAGGTAAGCGATTTATTCCCTACCTATTACCATTGATGCCTAATTTGGCCTGGAACGGCACGACTTAGAGAGAAATGATGAAGAGGACTTGAGATGAAAAGGAGAGGCCCTTGGCACGGCGGTCGGCATGTAACCCATATTAGCGCCTACAAGACTGCACGAATACTTCACACATTGCATCAAACACAGTGCGGTCACTGCAGTCAGCGTGAAACGTATAGCGCCTACAAGAATGCATGAATACTTCACGCATTGCGCCAAAGACAGTGCGGTCAGCGTGAAACGGTTAGCGCCTGCAAGACTGTCGGAATACTTCACGCATTACGCCAAACCCAGTGCAGTCTGCGCGGCGCGGCGGCGGAAGTTAAAATCATTATACTACATTTATGTTTGTTCTTTCATAATTTTTTCGGTCATTTCTTATGAATGCTTGAAGGCCTTGTCCACACAGAGATAGGTTTGCGGAACTTAACTTTCGCGCAAAGTTCCGTGAACTTTTGCTAGTAGTGTTGACAGTGTTTTCCCAAAAAACGTGTCCAACACAAGTAAATGCGTCTTCTGCATCCTTCCCCCGCTGGTACGTTCACTTGATGATTTTTATTGATGTTTCAAAACGAATGAGAAGGGGGCGGCAGAATACAGGCGGCCCATGGGCGGCAAGTATGTAAATCCTGCCCTGATGCATATTGCACAATCATATTTTTGTAAAAAAAATTGGTTGTTTAAGTCAATTGTACACTGTTGGAATAGACACTGCTACTTTGTCCGAGACACGACAAATTGTATCTATTTTTGACGAATATGGAATGGGAAAATATTTTACGCACCCTGGTAAAGAAAGAGAAGAGGAAATTTAACTACACAAAAAATATGTGATTTATGTACTCGTATTATAGCTCCATTAAATTTGAGAACCAAATAAAATTTTGCCATCTATTGCGTTTTAATTAATCACTTTTTAAGTGTCACTTGTAGGTATTTAGTAGTCACTTTTACGCGGTCGCCATCACAAACATTAAGGCCTCATTTTATGACTGTCATCAAAGTTTTGACAAACCTTTTTTTTACAGGCATTCGTCCACTTGTCGACGGCCTTCTGCCATTGTGAATACGAAGTTTTAGAAGAGCAAGTGTATCCCTCTCCAGCGAATCCAGAGGACGTCATCAGAGCGGTCCAATGGATGGATGAGCAGTGCTTAGATGTTATACAATCCAAGTAAGTTTTTCCAACATCTTAAAATAAGTTTTAAAAATGCATTCTGTGTTCTTCATTTTCGCATTTTAAATCATAATTATTTTCAAGCTCTGTATTTTTCGGCCAGGAATCATAAAAGCAAAAAACTCACGTAAAACATCGAAGTCTACCTGCGGGCTAATTATTGAAAGTCATAGACATAGCTATAGACAAAAACAACAAAAAGGAAAAGAAGCGATCCTATCAGTGGAAACAGGTGTTTACAATGGACAAAAGGGGGCAAGTAATAGACTAACTAACGACAACCCATGAGGGACCCTATAGTTAGTCCATCATTTTCCTCTTGGTCTATAACAACCACTCGTTTCAACTAATAGGATCGCTCCATGTTCCCTATGTCTTCTTTGTCTATCGCTTTGTCTATCGCTTTGTCTATCGCTTTGTCTATCAGTTCCAATAATCCAACCGCTGCCTAATTTCGTCGCTCCTCTAACGTAAAGACGCATCTCAATTTCCACAAGAACCTCTTTGTAAATATAAATTTACGCTCTCTGGAGCTCATATGAAAGTCGAGTTACTCCCTTACGCCAGAGGAGCGATGATTTTTGATCAACATCGTTTTGAAAACTGACAAATTCCTCTTCTTGGAAGGCTGAGATATCACCTACTAACCCTTATCTCCAAGAGAAAAAATTGAAAACTCTGGGATGGAGTTACTGCACTTTTGCTGCGGACGGCACTGCTCCCAATCCAACCTCTTCAGTTTTGCGCACCAAGAGGTGAACTCAAAGATCCCCCCCGGAGGTGATTACGACCGCTTCAGAATGTCAAAGCTTTTTTCGGTTTCACGACGAATTTTTTTCTCTTGTTCTCTTTGAATCTCCCGTACCGAGACTACCGAAAGCCATCGGATTCTGGCCCAAGTCGAGTGGCTAATCCGCGAGCGGTAATTCGGCCGACGAATTGCTCGGCCCCGGCCGGCGCACAGTGGATCGAGTCAATTACAGAGGTTGGACATGAAATTTTTTACTTAAGCTGCAAGTTTTGATGCTTATTTCGTCAAATTTTAAACTTCAAGGGATGTTTCGAGAGGAAAATTTTACGAGGAAACCAATGGAGCCACTTTTAGAACCTCAAAATTTTGTACAAACGGAGCAGTGTTCGAAACTCACTTTTGAGTTTTAGGAGCCATGTGGCGCATCAAGACCGATTTTTAGGCGCCATTGAAGATTTTTTAGGGGCCAAATTGACTTTTTGCCTATATATTACGGCGCATTTAGTGGAAAGTTAGACGCAAGATGTTTTCTTATCACTATAGAGTAGCCGTAACTTGGGGAAGACAAAATCAAAAATAATGAAATCGTGAGGAATAAAAAAAGCTTTCATTAATTTGTGGTGCTGAAATTTCGAATAATCACCTAATATGAAAATTCAGATTTTTAGGGGGCAATTTTTAGGGGTCACGTTGGCGCAGAGCCTTCATTTTTTAGACGTCATGGCCGATTTTTTAGGCGCATTGGCGCCTGTGAGTTTCGATTTTGAACACTGAGACAGAGTTATAAGCTTGTAAAGTTTCCAAATTTCGTCCGACCTCTCCTCTTGACTGGATCTGCTGTGCGGCAGAGGGGGAGTGGATTGGCACGGAGTGAAAGCAATCGGGTGACGCACGTCGGCTTTTCGCGCAAAATATCGTGTCCTTTGGTATCTGCAGCGGGCGGTGGATGTGGGCGGAGACTCCTGCTCACCGCACACACGCTCGTCGACGTAATTCCGGCGCTCTTTTCCACCACCAACTCCTGCCCGCCGCGGCCGGACGCGAGTATGCACTTCGCCGATGGTCACCTGGCGCTCGCGCTTTCACCTGGATGCACCATTGCACCGACCGCCACCTGCCAGGACTCGAGTGCTGCGGCTTCGCTCGCGCTGAACCGATCATTTTCAGATGCAAAGGCGAATCGTCGCTCCTCTGACGCAAGGGCGTATCTCGATTTCCACATGAGTCCCAGAAAGCATGAATGGAGATGTTGCATGTGTGAGGAATTTGCGATTTGACTGTTGATTCTCATGTAAAAGTTCGCGAATAACACGATGAAGCCACTGGTTTTCTCTGAAATCAACTCCCAAGCTCAAGAAAGCTCTCAAGTTGAGGCCAAAATGGAGGGGATATCCCGCCCTACCCTGAGAGTCCGCCTCTACATCAAGACAAACTCTCCATGCAAAGATAGGGAGCAAATACATTAGCAGGGATGCCGTGTTTTCAGTTTTGGAGTCCCGAAATAAAGTGGCAGCCCTGTCAATGTATTTACTCCCTATCTTTGCATGGAGAGTTTGTTTTAATGTAGATGTGGACTCTCAGGATAGCGTGGGATATCCAGAGTCGGACTGGCGTAAAAAAAGTTAGGCAGCTACTAGGATTTTGGGGCCCCTGACGTAAAAACTGGGCCCCTATGGGGGGTCTGGGGGGTGGCCCCCCAGGGATGGAGGGGAG